TAGGACTGTAAGAGCAGTCCCAAGATATGTTTGTCTTCAAAGTAGGGTCTATACCACAGGGGGCATTGTGAGTCTTGGGGTGACCATGAACCATTTGAGATCAAGAAATGTCTTTTTGCCTCTGTTTGCATCCCCAGCACTTAGCACTATGCCTGGCACATAGGTACTTAATAAATGTTTGTTGACTTGACTGTAAAGACACTGGGAAGGCTAGGGATCTGCCAGAATGCCAAAGGTTTGTCCCAATGATAACCCCAAGTTCTTAGGGGAACTGGAGCACCATACATCCTTTATGTGTATTCACTATCTCTTCATGCCTCCCCGTGAGTGCTTTTCATTTTTAAAATATTCTGTAGGATGAAATAAAGGCTGTCCTTTACCTGATACATTTGTTACCTTGAGTGCTTGTATGGGAGCTGGGGACCCTGTTACTCACATATGTAGCAACTGAGACATGCACTATACCTGAGCTACATTTGTGTATTTTCCATGAGAAAAGCCTGGGTGAGATAATAATAAGCCCACCACTTTTTGGGTCAGCCCTCAGGAATTGACCCAGTCTGTATAAGCCTAGAGTTTTGGCAGACCCTAGGAAATGGGCAGAGGGCAGCTACGTGTTGAAGTGGATAGAGTTTCAGGCTTAGAGTCAGGAAGACTCATCTTACTGAGTTCAAATCTGGCCTTAGGAACTTACTAGCTGTGTGACCCTTGGCAAGTCATTTAACCCTATTTGCCCCAGTTTCCTAATCTGTGAAATGATGTAGAGAAGGAAATGATAAACCATGCCAGTGTTTCTGCCAAGAAAACTCCAAATGGGGTCATGGAGAATTGGACCCGACTGAAAACAACTGAGCAAAAATAACAGAGGCAAGAGATTTCACAAACATAGCCAAATATATCTTCTCAACTCATGAGAAGGAATTGTTGGTAGTTTTTGATACTTTGATTAATGATTTCAAGGTTAGTATATGTTTTGGCATAAGTATGAAATGTCATCTGGGTGGATAACTCTAGGTGTGGTAAATCCCTTCATGATGCAGGTCAGCAACTTGTCTGTAATTTAAGAGTATTAGAAAGTCACTAGGATGTGCTAAAAGATTTGTGATTTACCCATGGTCACACTGTCAGTATGCGTCTGAGACAAGGCTTGAACCCAAGTTTTCCTGACTCCAAGACTGGCCTTTTAGTCATCATGTCATAGCCCCTTTCTCACAAATAATTGTGAGATTTTTTTTTTAGTCTGTATGTATGATTTTATTTATATAGGAAGCTCTTGGTGCAGAAGCTCTCTCCACTGGTGCAGATTGTCAGAGGGTTACCTGGGGAATGGACAGTCATGCGGCCAGTATGTGTCAGAGACAGGAATTGAACCCAGGTCTTCATGGTTCAAAGGCCTTCTCTTTGGGTACTAGGACATTTTTCTTCTCATTGAATAATGTCTCTGATCACAAAATTATGTTAAAATTCCATCTCCAATGCTGATTTTAATAGAATACTGAGTTAGCTTTAACTTCTTCATAAATTTTAACTTAATTTTTCAGCCTTTTCCCCCTCACACTTAAGTCACTTGTGTTATATTTCTCCAGTCTCTCTGCCCTCTCAAGGGGAGATGCTTCTCACTTTCCCTTGAGAGGAGATTCTGTGCCTCTTCATATCACTCCCTGGGAAGGTTAATCTGCAGTATTAGCCCTAGATCACGGGACTGTCCCATGAGAACTGGCATAGCTTTCAACCCCCCATATTTAAAATGTGGGCGCAACGTCATCAATTTGGAGCTTAGAACTCAGGGAGGAGAGAATTTTCACCTTCCCACACATCTCCAGATGTTGATACACAAGGGCAGTCTTAGTACTTAGAGTCCTCAACAACTGAAATCGGCACTACAACTTTTGGGACACCCTGTATTTATCTTTAGGTTGTCTCCCACATTAGAATGTAAGCTCCTAGAGGGCAGGGGCTGCCTTTGCTTTTTTTTTTTTTAAATCTCCCTGGTACTTAGTACAATGCCAGGCCCATCGGAAGGGCTTAGAAAATGTTTGTTGATTGCTTGATGGTTGGTGTTGACTGGCTTCTCAGGCTAGAATCAAGACTGATTTGACTGCTAATTTTGTGATCTCAGAGTATGTACTTTGACAGCACCATGTACTGTGCTGTCTTTGCAGCCAGGATCCTCCATGCATTTTCTATGCATGGAGAATGTGTCCTGCAGATCAAGTTCAGTTAATGGCTTATGGAACCTTCCCCAGCCCTCTCCTCCTCCCATGCTATATACAAGGAAGATGTGGCTAGACTACAGGGTGTTTAAGAAGGATCTGGGGACCTTAGTGGACCACAGGCTTAATGAGACTTTGCTGTATAACGCAAGGAGCCAAGAAGCTCTCATTGTCTTATGCTATCTTGAGAGGGGCGTGCTTAGTGTTCAAGGCTAAGGAAGTGATATTTCCCCTGTACTTTGTCCCAGTCAGGTCACATTTGGAGTGTCTTATTCAATTCCAGGTGCTGCATTTTAACACATTTTTGCTGATAAACTCAAGGCTGTCCAGAAGAGAGTAACCAAGATGGTGAGAAGACTGAAAACAATGCCATATGAAGAATAGAAAAAAGAACTAGGGGTTTATCGTGGAGAAGAGAAGACCCAGGGAGAGCATGAGTAATCAATTAATAAATGTTTATGAAGCACCTACTATGTGCCAGGCACTGTGCTAAGTACTGGGGATGCAAATAGAGGCAAAACACAGTCTTTACCCACGAGGAGCTTACAATCTAATGGGGAAAGACAACAAGCAAACAAATATATACAGGGAAAGCTATACTCAAGAAAAAATGGGAAATAATTAATAGAGGGAAGGCACTGGAATTAAGAAGGAATGAGGAAAGGCTTCCAGTAAGAGATGGAATTTTAGTTGAGACTTAACAGAAGCCAAGGAAGTCAGCAGTCAGAGTAGAGGAGAGAGAACATTCCAGGCATGGTGGACAGCCAAAGAAAATGCCCAGAGCTAAGGGATGGAGGGTCTTGATCGTGGAACAGCCAGGAGGCCAGTGTCATCAGCTCAAAGAGTACATGTTGGGGAATAAGGTGTAAGAAGACTGGAAAGGGAGAAGGGGTCAGATTATGAAGGGCTTTGAATGCCAGACATGGCATTTTGTATTTGATTATACAGGTTGGAAACAGGCAGGATTGAAACCTTAGCTCTTCTGGACACGAGTGCCATTTCTGTTTCCACTTTACCCCATTGCTTCCTATAATAAAAAGGAATATAATATAATAATAATAATACAATATAATATATAACACACTATACCATACTATAATAATATATTATATAATATAATAATATAATAAGTGTTACTTTTCTGTAACACTCTAAGGTTTGTCACCTGCTTTCCCCACAGGGCAGCTAAGTGGCACCATAGTGGATAGAGTACCAGACCTGGTACTGGGAAGACTCATCTTACTGAGTTCAAATCTGACCAGACACTTAGTAGCTGTGTGACCTGGGGCAAGTCACTTCACCCTATTTGCCTCAGTTTCCTCATTTGTAAAATGAGCTAGAGAAGGAAATGACAAACCACTCCACTATCTTTGCCAACAAAACCCCAAATGGGGTCATGAAGAGTTAGATACAGCTGAAAAATGACTCAACAACAACTCCTTTACAGCAGTCCTGTGAGGTAGGTAGGATAGTTATTACCACCCTATTTCACAGAAGAGCAAAGAGGCATTGGGAAGTTAAGTAGTTTGCCCACTATCATAATGCTAGCAAGGGTCTGAGGCAGGATTCACACCCAGGCCTTTTGACTCCAAGCCACTTCTCTCTCCCTCCATACCTCATTGCCGTCCATTCTTAAATTATTTCACTTAGAGCTTAGGGAATCCACTTCATCTTCTTCATGCTATTTCTCTGGATTCCCAGAGAAATTCTGGGAGATCAGCCTTCACCAGGAGGTGATATGGTAAGATAGGCTTTATGGTGTGCTGTTTTTTAAATGACCAAGGGCATCAGCATAAATCTCTCCTTCCAGAGAGTCTTTGGAAGAAAGAAAACAAGCCCCCTGCCCCCACTATCACCATCCAAGCCCCCACCCTCCAAATCCCTCTCCCCTATCTCTGCCAAAACGGAGCTGGTTTTCTCTAACAATTCTCTGCCTTTTCCTCTCAGGACCATCCTCCTCCTGTATAATTTATAAAAGTGGGAAGAACAGCAGAATTGTTCTCCTAATAGATTTTGAAGATTCCAATTTCCATCCTGCCACACAAGACTGAGAATCCACTTGTGTTCACTTATCTGTAGCTGTTCTTCATTCCCACACTGCATCAAAAATCAGGTTCAGGTGTAGGTTAAAAGCATGCATTTACCTCCAGAATATGGGAGTTATTAAATATCTCTCCACAATTAACATCACCATATCAATAAGAATCATCATTAGGAGCTGTCAATCAGCTGTGGAATTTTGCTTCAGGGAAACAAAACAATTTAAATGATGGTGAATGCTCCCCCCTTCTTTTTTACATGCTTCTCCTTAAATTGGATAATTATGTGGCTTTTCATTAGATTTCTCTAAGCATAATAGATCACAATATTCACCCTTTGACCTTGGTGATGAATGTCTTGGGTGAAAACATGTGACAAGCAGTGTTCTGAGGAGACTCAAATATGGAAAGATAGGAGTCTTCTAGGATGAAAGGGAAACAGGAGAGTAGGAGAGCTGCCAGTAAGGTACTGTTAGTCCCAGATTTGGGTGCAGAGTAGCTGGGATATAACCTGGGGGACAAGATATTTGTCTGAAACTGATTTTACAGTTGTAGCGGCCTGCAAGTTCTGCATGAGTCAATAATACCACGTTGGAGCCAGCCCAACCCAGTACAGCAAGAATTGTCTTTTGCAGTAAGTTAAGAAGCATTTATTAAGTGCTTGCTCTATACCAGGCACCCTCATGGAGCTCACATCCGAATAGGGCCGCTTATGTGCAAATAACCATACACATGCAAGATATATACAACATAATTAGAAGGTAACCTCAGAGGAATGGATATTTATTGAGCCTATATTATATGCAAAGGAAGCAATGGGATTCAGTTGATAGAGAGCTGGTCTTAAAGCAGGAAAATCTAGGTTCTTGTCCTGTTCCTAAAAGAGAGTCTAGGCAAATCATTTAATCTCCCAGTGCCTGGGTCACTCTCCCTGAGGCTGGAAGAGAGCTTCTTGAGAACCTTGGAGAAAAGGTTCCAATCTACCTGGGTAGAAATCTCTCAGCGTGAGCCTTTTACATCAATGCAACCACAAGTCTGGTTCAATAAATTCTGCGCAAAACTCCAGAGATGCAAAGGCAAAACAAAAGCAGTCATCACACTCGCAGAGATGTTTTTGCTGTCCAAGAAAAGCTAGTAGGCTGGTAGGCTGATGAAGAGGTATGCCTGTTCACAACACACCTGCAGGAGTATGTCTAGTTCTAGGGGCCACGTAGGGAATCTAATGATGGAATGGAAGCTCGTAGCAAGTAGAAATGGCTTTGTTGTTTGTATTGTGGTGCCTAGCACAGTGCCCGGCACATAGTAGGTGCTTAATAAAAGGTTGTTGATTGATTGGTTGGTAAGCTGGAGAACAATGGGGGAAAGATATCTTAGGATAGTGAGGGAACTTGAGAGTATACCATATGAGCATAGGTTAAAAGAACTGGGAATATGGAGACTGGAGAAGAGAAACCTCAGGGGGTCACATTAGCCATCTTCAAGTACCTGGAGGGCTGTCATCTGGAAGACATGTTCTGCTTGGCTTCAACATGGAGAACCAGCAGCCAGAGTTTGAAAATGTGAAGAGGTAAGTTGAGGCTTGATGTCAGGAAAACCTTTGTACCAGGTAGAGCTATTCCCAAGTGGGATGGGCTGCCTGCTTAGGCAGTGGGTTCCCCCTCTCTGAGGATCTTCGAGCAAACACTAGATCACTGCTCATTGGGAATTCAATTTCACTGAAGTAACTTTCAATGCTGAAATTCTGTGGTTCTAAGGTGGGAGTAGCTCCAAAGGAATGTTCTCCTGCCAAGAAAGGACAAATAGGCATTGTGAGTTAAGTGGGCTGCAAAAAAGGAGACATAGCATGACCAGCTTCTGAGTGCAGATGCATCCTTGAGGGCCCACTACCGTGATCTGAGAGTACCTCCACCCTCTTGAATCAGCATCTTTATAACACTGCAGTGACAGAGACAGCACGACAGTGGAATATAAGCTCCTGGAGGTCAGGGGCTATCTGGATTCCCCGACAGAGAAATAAATGCTTGTTGAATCATTAATTCATTGTGTGTGTGTGTGTGTGTGTGTGTGTGTGTGTGTGTGGTGTAATCAAAAAAGAAGCTCTTGATCTTCAGGGCTCTCTACTTTTGCCAGGGTTATTAGGGAGAAGAAAAGAAGTGCTTTTCTGCACAGCTGCTCAGTACCCTGGGCAGCTCTCCTGAATGTGTCTTTACTTCTCCCCCCTCCAGTTCTGCAGACATTCTCTCAGTCCTTCAAGAGCCACTCTGTATCCCTATTCTGTAATGGCAGAAAGAGCAGGGCACAGAGGAGATTCTTGCCCAGGGAGCGGGAAGAGAAAAATATTGGACAAATCCTGAATGTGGCATCTCACATCACCTGGGGATCTAAAATGGGCTTTCTATCCCTAGCTTCTTTCTGACTTCCCAATACATATTCAGAACTGGTCAGAGACAAATGTTCCTGTTACAATGAGGTCAGGTCATTGCTAGACCTAGCCACTAGAAGAAGATATCCTGTCATCTGGGTCTCATACCAATTAGCCAGCAGCTTCTCCTTTAGTTGCTAGGAGCCATCCTATCCTTTTTCCTTTTAGATTTTTGGAGACAGAGAGAAAACTGTTATAACACAGTCCATCTTGCTGTGGATTTAGCTATCTCATCTAAGTGGGTGGGAGGTGACAGAGGGACTGGTTATTGAATGACTACTGAGCCAGACGTGTGAGTGCCCTTCATCCTATCGTGGACAGCGCAGAAGCCGATGCCTCCCAGAAGCCCTTCTACTGCACACAATAATGGAATTTTTGTTGCCTGGCCTCAAACTTGGAATTGATTTTCACTATTATTTATTTGATACTGCTACAATCAACAGCACTCGTTACAGAATTACTTTTGATTCACAAGAAACATGTGGCTGAGAAAATAACTACCATATTTCACCCTTCACCTTTAAGTCAATTTCCTCCTATGTCTTCCAGGTTTGTGTAAGAAGATGTGGATGATGCAGGAACTCATGTGAGGTTAAGGGATGGGTCGTGGCTAGACCCTGAGTTCTTTTAGAATCTCCAGATCGGCCTCGGTCAGGGCTGACTTCTCACCCTCAGCCCTGACCCACCCTAGTGAGGTTGCAGGGACAGTCATCGCTATTGAGCATCCCTTCCAGCAGAGGCTGCCAGTAAGAGAAATAGCCAGAGCCAGTTTACATCGCTTTGCCTGGGGTTCACCTGTGAGCTCTCAGAGGCTGATTACTGCCTCACAAAGGCTAAAGTAGAGTAAGCAAGAGGGGATGTGACCCCTTCAAAGAACTTGTTCTCTTTGGATTACTTATTAGCAAGCACCTCAGAACCTTGAAGAACATCAGATTCACCTCTTTCTTCATTTTACAGAAGGGAAAACCAAAGTCCAGAGAGAGGAAATGACTTCCCTCTCCTTTTTCCTCCTCTACCTTCCTCTCCTCTCCTCTCCTGTTCTCTCCCCAGTGCCTAGCACTCTCAAGGTCTCTCTTAAGAACTGAGGAATTGATTGTGTGACGTGGGAGACACTGGCATAGGACCTCCCAGCGTGGTGTGTCCATATCAGAGAAGGTTCTGTGCTCTATGAGCAAAACAGAATTGAAGTAGTTCAAAGGAAACATGAGAAGCACAAATTTAGAGAATCCACCCCAAATGTTCACGTGGACTATTTGTGCCTGACCTGTGGTCGAGCATCCCGAGCTTGGATTGGTCTGATCAGCTTGGATGCACTGTACCTTGACTGTAACATGGTGATGTCCTTTGGGTCCTCTTCCAGAACAAAGGACAACAGCCAAGCCTAGCACAAAGCAGGTGCTTAATAAATATCTCTTAATTGATTGATTATGACCATAGAGCTGGAAGGGACCTTCAAGATCATCTGGTTTAATGCTTCCACTTTAGAGATGAGGCTGTCTAGAGAGGTCCAGAGAGGGCAGATGATTTGTGCCAGTCATATGGAGGCAGGATTTGAATTCAGGTTCTTTGATTTCCAACCCATTGCTCCTACTATTCTACTTTGTGTTCACGAATTTAAAGGCAAGGGAATGGCAAGGTGGTACAGTGACTGGAGTGTGGAGTCAGGAAGACCTGAGTTCTAATCCTGCCTCAGACACTAGCTGTGTGACCCTGGGCAAGTCACTTAACTATTATCTGCCTCAGTTTCCTCATCAGGAAAATGGGAGATAGTAATAACTCCTAATTTAAAGAGTTATTATTAGGATCAAGTGATATAACATGTAAAGCATTTTGCAAAACTTAAAGCCTTATGTAAATGCTAGCTATTATTTTATATGTTTAGATGTAAATAATGCAGTCGGTTTCAGAGGTGAAGAAGGACAAGTCATTGGAGTGGTGACTAGGTAAGAAGCCCACTCCATTACTATTCAGTGTGATGGGGAAAGTTTACAGGTGTATAAAGGATGAGAAACCCCACAGGAAACATGAGTATAGACAGGAAACCTGCAATTCTTGTTACATTGACTAGAACTTGTGGGAGAATTCTCAACTGTCTGTGAATCTTTGTTTCAGTGTGGACCCAGCCTGCCTAGTCTCCCGATTGGAGTTCTTACAGATGAGCCCTAATCAATATAGAGCTGAGTAAAGGAGAGTTACTATAAAAATGCTTTCCAGTTACAGGGTTGATGCCAACAGCCATAAGGTTCAAGAGGTGGAATGTCACCTGTATATGTATAGCCCATATGTACAGCATTTTAGTGTGTCCAAATACTTATCCAATGACTGTCATTTCATGTGGCTCCCAGACTGAGTCTTTCCAACAAAGGACTACCTCTTATGACATACTACGGACTAGTTATGTCACTGTTCTGGACGCAGGAAAAATTACCTGGCTAGTGTACCTAGATTGAGATATCATGTGGTTTCTCCACGACTGTGTGGCACTGGCTGGGCAGCCCATAGAGGGGTGTGGGGTGTGGGGTGTGGTTCATGCCAGGCTGTTGGCCTTGGAGTCAAGAAGATAAGAATTCAAATCCCACCCCAGCCACTCCTTAACTATGTGACTCTGGGCAAGTCATTTCACGCACTTCTCTCTGTTTCCTCGTCTATAAAAAGTGGATAATAATGGCATCTACCTCCCAGGATTGTTGGGAGGATCAGCTGGAGTCATATTTTTAAAAGTACTTAACAGTGCTTACACATAGTAGGTGCTTAATAAATGTGTTTCATGATGCTGTATAATCTATAACTGATGTAATGATGGTAACAAGGAATACTTCAGCCCAGACAAAAATAATTGTGAATATAGTCATGCTGGGAGAGTAGGCTAGCCTGACCTTTGCCCCCATGGGAGGTTGGGTGAAAGATAAGACCTGTGAGAGAGGGTAGGGGTGGGGATGTTGTTTGGCCTGGGGCTGTTGTTCAGGATGATAGTATAGAATGATAGATACGTTGTGACAGTTGTGGCAAGGAAGGATGAACCACTTGTATGTTGGTTAATGACAGCTCTGCTCTTGGTTATCATGACCTTTAACTGGTAAAACAGCAGGAGCCCTGGATTGGAGGAAATAGATCAAAGCCCCAGTGTCAGCTCTGCCATTTACCATCCAGACAACCTCAGGGGGGGTTGCTCCCTTGCCCCAAGTCTCAGTTTCCTCATCTGGAAAATGGGAAGGTTGAACTAGATGACCTCAATGGCTCCTTCCAGCTTTCAATCAATGATCTCACGATAGTCCATCCTCTGGAGTTAAGATTGGGCAATGTATTGATCTCAGTTCTGATATTTTTCCCGTGTTGATTTCCTTTATATAATTATGATCATTGTATGCACTGTTTTCTTGGTTCTGCTTACACTGCTCTGCATCAGTTCATACAACTCTTCCTGAGTGTCTCTGAATTTTTCCTATGCATCATTTCTTACAGCACAATAATAGTCCATTACTCTCATACACCACGATTTGTGCAGCTATTCTCCAATGGATAGACACACAGTTCGTTCCTAGTTTTTAGCTTTCTCAAAAAACTCTGCAATAAGTATTTAGGTGTATGTGAGACCTTTCTCCCTGTCTTTGACCTTCCTGGTGCAAATGTCCAGTCATGGTATTGCCAGGTCAAAGGATGTAAACACAAGTCACTTTCTAAGAGGATGCCAAATTACAGCACTACCCTCTCAGTCCCCAGTCTCGAAACCTTGGTGTCATCTTGGAGCCCTCTTTTGATCTTACCTCACACATCAAGCCTGTTACCAAATCTTATTGTTTCTGCCTTCATGATGTCTCCTGTACATCCCATGCTCTCTGCTCACATATCCACCAATCTAGTTCTGGCCCTAATAATCTCTCATATGTTTTATTGCAATAACCTTCTAATTAGTCTCCTTCCACAAGACCCTCCCTACTCCAATTCATCTTCCACTCAGCTATCAAATTGATATTCCTGCCACTCAGGTCGCCACTCTACTCAATAAACTTTCCTGGCTCTCCATGAAAATCTTCTATTTGAAATGTAAACTCTTCCCAACATGGCTTCTTCCCACGTCTCTAGTCTTTTTATAGTTAGCTCCCTTCTACACTCTCTGCAATCCAGCTACATTGGACCTCTTTCTGTTCCTCACATATGACATTCCCATCTTCCATCCCCTGGACTTTGCAGGGTCTGTACCCCATTTCTGGAATGCTTTCCATATTAAGGGATCAATAAATGCTTATTCACTCACTGCCCTTAGCTTCCTATTTTCCTTGGTTCCCTTTATGACTCTGTTCAAATTCGTCCTTTGGAAGGAAGCCTTCCATTGTGCCCCCCAGTTGTTAATTCCCTTCCCTCTCTATCTCTGGTGCTTAGCATAGTGCTTGGTACATAGTAAGTACCTAATTAATGCTTGTTCATTGATTGATCAATTTCTTTCCAGAAAGTTGGACCCATCCACGGCTCCACCATGTGTTTATCAGCATGCCTATCTTCCCACAGACCCATTTCCACCTTTTATCATCTTTACCCATTTGCTGGGTAGGAAGTGAAACCTCTCTGTAAGGCATCTTTCTTCTTCATCGATAACAATTTCCCTTACTCTGTTTAGACTTTCCTTTAAGATGCTTTTTAACAGCCAGTGCTACATAGTTTAACACTTCATGATTATCACATGTGTGGGATTCTTGTCTCTCCAATCAGACAGCAAGCTCTTGGAGGGCAGGCATCACAGTTTACCTCCAGCATTCCCCACAGTATCTAACAGCTTGCTAGTATGTGATTGGCAGGTTGATAGTGCTGGTTATTTCACTGTGTAGATGAACCCACTGGTTGCAAAGCCCCTTGATCCCCAAGACTGAGCCCACTATACGGAGCTAGAGGTTTCCTCTGGATGAAGGCAGCAGTCATCATTCTGGCAGAGGCTCTGGTGCCTGAGTCATGTCTCATAATTCCTAAAACATGACCCATACTAGAGAGGTACGAAATTCCTCCTAGAGCGAAGCTTCCACTTTCCACAGCTCTTCAAAAACCAATCTTAGGAGCAGAGACAGTTGAAAGGGACCTCTGAGGCCATCTAATCCAGTCCCCACATTTTACAGATGAGGAAACTGAGACCTGTGGAGGCCCAAAGTCACACAGGTAGTAAGCAGCAGAAGGGGTATTTGAACCCAGCTCCTTAGACTGCAGAGCTATTGCTCTTTTCACAATATCACCCCATTTCATGGCTTGAATGGATTCTGGAGGGTGGGGGCAAATATCAGGACTTCTTTTGTGATCCTGAGACGCTACCCAAGCAGCTAGAGTGGTGACCTCCAACCAGCCCTCTCTTCCCTGTAGGGGGCATCCAATCAAGCCCCATGCTCTTATTAGAGGATAATGGGATTAGATCCATTGAGAGCTGCCTGGCAGGGGCTTCAGCTTATTTTAATCTTCGATTTTGATAAACTTGTGGCTATTACTTTTCCCCCCACCAAATGTGCCTCACACCTCATTGCTCCCAACCATTAGGCAATTAGCTGTTTCCAGCACCTCTTAAACATGGAGTGATTCTGCTTATTTGGTGAATAATGATGGAACTTGGAGGCAGTAAACAGGGGGTGCCTAACTTTTTCACCCTCTTCACCCAGGGCCTGTGCTTGGCATGCCTTTATGCTCCAAACTGGGTAGCCATTATGTACTTAATGAGAACTGTAATGGATGGCTCATCTTCACTTTTGGCCTCAATTCCAACCCACAACTACATGGTCCTGGACTACTGGATGCAAAATGACTATTAAACCCCGTCACTGTGATTTTGGAAACCAACCAATCTAGTTAGGGAACCAAGTGTCCGGACGCTCTCCATTTCCCTCAACATGGGAAGTTTCCAATAGGTCTTCAGTGGGCATTAATGCAACCCAGGCCAATGATCCCTTATTTACCAAATTGTTTAATCTCTCACTTTTATTTGCCCTGTGAGCCTGAGCTGGGATTTTTCATTTCCTGAAAACTTCCATGATTTTCACAGCTGCTTAAACGACCTCTTGTTTTCAGGTTTCCATTTCTTCCAGGGCTGCACAGAGTAAAGTGACTGCCAGTCTAACCTGCAACTCCATTTCCAGAATCACATTGCATCTGAAGGATGCAATTCATTTTATAGGAAGGGACAGTAGGGGAGTTTTGCCGATTATAAGAGCAGAGATGAGGAAATATTTCAGAGCGAGCACCAGTGCCTCAGCCTTCCACAGACAAAGCCCCTCTTTCCCGGCTCTGGGATAGCATCACTCCCCAGAGTGGCTGCTCCACTGGAGACAACAGTTCTATTTCTATTATTCATCTGGATGGCTCTGATGTTGTATCCCTTCTGCCCCAGGACTTCTAACACCCCTTGCTCTTATTTGAGAAGCTTGCCTCCTGGCTCTTTTCCCTTGATGAATGGATTGCTTAAAACCCTTCTAAGAATGCCGAGCTTTTGACAATTTGATGATGAATTTGTAAGGAATTGAACTCTGGCCAGTTGATTTCTAATCATCTCAATCATCCCTGACACGGGGCAGCTTTGGGAGGCAGAGTAGGATAGTAGGAAGAGCCTTCGTCTGGGGTCAGTAATTTGTCCAAGGTCACATAGGTAGTAAGTAACTCAGTCAATAAGCATTTATTAAGTGCCTACTGTGTACCAGGCATTGTACTAAGTGCTGGGGATGCAAAGAGAGACAAAAGACAGTCCCTGCCCTTGAGGAGCTCACGGTCTAACAGGAGGCACAGCAAATAAACGATTCAATGAGACATAGAGAGGCAAAGTGGGTGTAATTTTCAAGACTATTGTATGACTACAATCTAGGGTAGGTGACAAAATAATAAGCACCAGGGCTGACATTTCTTCAGAGTCGGAAGGCTTGCCAAGTTCTTCCAGGACAGGAGCACCTTTGAAATAGGGAGAGGAGGTCTGAGTTCAGCTCTGCCTAGGGTTCTATAAAGAAGCTCGGGGGGGGCCAGGCAGACATTGTGAGAAGCCAGATTTCTTCTTGGTTTTTGGTCACCTTAGATTGGTCCTCAGGAGTTCTGTGGTCAATCAGGACTTCTGTCAAGGGCCCCATCCCCATCCCCCTCCACATCCTTTTAATCATGCAAATTTTCACCCTCTTCAGACCCCTAATCTCATTTGTCTCTTGCCTCCATTCCCCAATTGATGGCTACCTGTCCTGCCTCCATTTCAAGTTCTTCATTCCCACAAAAAGAGCCACTATAAATATTTTGTCCATATGGGTCCTTCCCCTCATTCTACACTTCCTTCCCCTTGTACAATCAGCTCCTCTTCACCTTTCACGTTGATGATCACAATGGCCTCCCAATTGGCTTCCCTGCCTTGTCTCCCTGCTCTCCAAATCACCTTTCATGCAGCTGACCAATTCAATTTTCTTAAAGTCCAAACTGGGTGGTGCCACTGCCCCTGGTCAGTGAACTCCAGCTGCCCCATTTTACCTCTAGGACCAAATACAAACTCCTCTCATCAATAGAATGAATGGTCCTTGCGAGCACGGACTACTTTCATTTTTATCACTGCATTCCTGGCACCTTGAATGATCACTGCCACAGAGTAGATGCTTAATAAGTGTTTGTTGATTGGTTGATTGGTATTGTGATTAGCATGAGCAGCTTTGACTAGGAATAGACCCGAGTTCAAATCTTACTTCTGACACTAGATGTGTGAACATCTAGTTTGCTTCTCTGCAAAATGAGAGTAATCATAATACCTATGGTACTAAATTCACAGGGTTATAGTGAAGGTTCAGTGAGATAATGTGTGTGAAGGGCTATAAAAGTACTATCTGTTTATTGGTCAAATGTCACCTGCATAACACGGAATTTTTCTCTGTGTTCCACATACACAGAATCCCTATGAAGCTAGACCTGACCTTATATTCCATTCTAAACTCAAGATAATTAATTTGTGGGTGAAGTTCTTTTGAAATCAAGAAATGTTCCCCCCAAAAAAGAAAGAGAGAAAGAGAAAGAATAAAGGAAGGAAAAAAAGAAATAGAAAGCAAGCAAGCAAGCAAGATTTCCTGGTCATGGCAGCATGATACAACAACTTTTGAATCATAGGACCTAGGTTCAAATGTTACCTTTAGTACTCACTTTATGGACCTCAAGTAAAGTCTTGGGCCTCAGTTTCCTCAGCTGTACAATGAGGTAGTTGGTTTAGATGGCCTCTGAAGTTCCTTCCAGCTCTGAATTTAGGACCCTACAGAGGAGACAGTCAGAGGGCAGTAAGTGGCAGAGTTTGGCCTCAAACCCCAGTACTTTTGACAGCAAGGGTGGGATTCCTCCTCCTTCTAGGCTGGGATAAGCTAAGAGGTACATGTTACAATGCCCATGTAAAGCCAGGAGTGGGCAGTGATGCAATTGGAAAGGCAGCAGATTCTGGTGGAGAGCATGAGACTAGGGGTTCAGTGCTCTCCTGCCCTCAGCTGCTCCCTGACCTTGAGCTGGTCACTCACCTCTGGCCTCAGTCTCCCCAGCTGTCCAATCAGGGGATCAGACCGGATAACCTAGAAAGCACCTTCCCCAGTTCCAACGCTAGGTGCCTGTGAGCACTCGCGTCCATTACCCTTGCAAATTCAATCTCGGGCAAAACAAGGATGCTTACTTTATTCATTACGATTTTGACCATAAATGAGATCGATCTAGTCTCTGAACCAAGTGATGTAAGCAAGAGTAAAGATTCCGGTCAAGTCCATTACAAACGAGCAGCAGCAGCCCCTTTGCCCTCCTTACGCGCCCACACCTCGCAGCCTCCAGGTTCCCTTCCCTAGGCCCTTTTCTGAACATCGCATTCATCGGTAGCGTCTCTAATCAGTCTTCTTAAGTAAAGTTAACAAGAATCTGCGTACCCTCACTGGAAATTGTTTTGCTTAGCCTAAGAAGCTGTCACGACGGCCCTCGGCGCTGCACGGGCTGCGGCTTTAACCAGATTTCATCTTTGTGTGTCACTGTTCATGTCAGAGCAAAAATGTGCTCAGACAGAAGACTTGTCCCGCTTTCATCAAGGGAGCCCGCCTGCCTGGGCCTCGTTCCGCTTGGTTAAGCTTGTTATTTAAATTGTTAAAATTGAGACATCGGCAGTAAATTTCAGAGAAGATATAACAATTATTAGCTACAAGCAGGGCTCATGTACTCGGGAACAGACCCTGCCCTCCATCCACCGGCAGAATTAGCCCCCACTAATTTATAATGGTTTCTTTAAGAAGTGTGCCCTGTAGTCCTGGATGCTATTAAATCATGGCTGGTCCCCAACTGGATCATATTTCCGCCTCGGAGATGGATTTGGTTTGAGTCAGCAGACTGGCACAGCCCTGGGGGGGTGGGGGTGGGGCTCTGCCTTTTAAAACCGCTGGCAGAGGTCGGGTTCCACTCGGGTTCCTGGAGCTGCCTTCTGGCCACAAGCTGTGAGGGCCTGGGTCTTTCTATGCCAGGCAAGGGAGTCACAACCCAGAACGATGGCTCTTTGGGGGGCAAAGAGGGAGGAAGAGCTGGGGCTGCCTTTGAGTGACCTCGTGCTGGAATCCTTTTAAGAGCCTCTGTGACATTGCTGTGACTGGGCTCTGGGCCAAAGCAGCTGCTCTAGCCCCACCCTGAGTGGGCAAAGGAGGTCACTCACTACCTGAGAAGGCAGACTAGAGTGGGCGGAAGAGAAAATAAAAGAAGAGGGTCATAGAATTAGAGTGTGTGGGAAGGGACCTCATGTATACCTCCTCCCCCCCAAACCTTTCCATAACATCCTGGACAAATGTAGATGTCTGTCTTTCCAAGTCCTGTCGGAGCAGAACAAACACAGACTGGGGGCTTGATTTTAAGAAAAGCTCCCAAAGCAGGTTGGGATGCCCAGTGGTGGTGATGGGGGCCTTCCCTGGAGGTCTTCAAGAGACCCAGCACTGTGTAAAAGAAAGGGGGCTACATCTTACAGCAGGACTCAGGTTCAATTCTGGTTCTCTTACCTATTATCTGTGTGGCCTTGGACAAGTCACCTTCCTTTACTGGACCTCAATTTCCTCATCTGCAAAATGGGGATAGTCATAGCCTGCACTTCCTAGGGTTGTTTTGAGAATCCAGAGCTATAATGTAGGCAGCTATGTGGCACAGTGAATAGAGTGCTGGACCTGGAGTCAGGAACATCTGAGCTCAAATCTAGACTCAAGTACTTCCTAGCAGTGTTCAAAGTCATTTCAGCTTTGTCTGCCTCATTCCCTCATCCATAAAATGGGGATGATGACAGTACTTACCTTCCAGAGTTGTTGTGAGGATAAAATGAGATCGTGAATAGAATTGTGTGTATGTATATATGTATATATGCACATGTATACATTGTATAATTTTATATAATTATATAGATTTTATATATAATAATTCAACATTTTAATAGAAGTAGCGTCAGCTGAGAACCTGAAGGAGGCACCAGGGAGTAGAGAATGGGGTTGCCTCTGAAGCAGGATGCACCCTGTGGCACCACATCCCTCTTAAAACATGGTGCTTCCAATTGAATGTAATCCAGACTTCTTTCTCCACCATGATTCAGAGGCCTTTTCACCCCAGAAGGTCTCCACCTGTGCAGCTCCTTCCTCTGATTGGTCAGTTCCTCCTGGAATCTCCATTTTATAGAAAGAGCCCGGGTTGGCCATGTTCACACCTTCATTCAGTGCTCCATCTCCTCACTCTCTGAACTTTCTTCTTCACCATGTCCCCGAGTGGGCACCTTCTCTCTGCTCTTCCCCTAACCCCCATCCCTTTCTGCCTCCTTTGTGTCTTGTTTCCCCCTGTTAAAATGTAAGCTCCTTCAGGTCAGGGATTATCATTCTTTTTGCTTTTATTTGTGATTCCAGGGGTTGGTGCACAGAACGCACTTAATAAATGTTTATCAGCCCACTTTCATTTAATGTTCCATGTCTGGGCTGGAACAATCTAGAGGATAGCGGAGCTCTTTCTTCTCTTCATCTGGATACTGGATTAAAAAAATAGGCCTCAATTCCATGTTTTTATGTAATTTTGTTACACGGCCGGTTCCTATTCTGTTGTGGTTCAGTGCAACCCCCCCCCCCCGGTCTTTTTCATTTGAATGCTGCCCAAACCACGGCTACTTAGTGCTGGACTTGTACAACTGATTCTGTTTTTAACTTACATCTGGATGTTAAATTTATCATAGTTAAGTTTCATCTTATAGGTTGCAGCCCAAAGTTCCAGCCCAAGCCATTCAGATCTTTCTGGATCCTGACTCTGGCATGCTTAACCCCACTCTCTCACTGTTATATAATTCATAGCTTGTCTCTTTCTCCATCCTGGAGAGAACGTCAAAGAATTTAGAGCAGAAGTCACCTTAAATTCCTGCTTACTTTACAGATGAACGATCTAACATGCAAAAGTTGGAGAAACATTAGGGTCAGAGGAGGCAGCATGGGCAATGGGGAGAAGCTGAGTTTCCTAGTTTTGTGACCCTGGGCCATTCATTCCCCTTCTTAGTGGTTTAGACATCTTGGTAGATCTCATAGACTAAGTCAAACATGGGTCTTTGCATCCTGAAGGCAGTTTCCACACTAGGAGCTCCCTTCCCTGATGAAGTCACAGATACTTAAAAGGTCACATGAGCCATGACAGCATTAGAATTGCATGCGTATCCCACCATGCTACATTCCAGGGGCCAAGACAGAGCCCTTTGGCACTCCCCTGGAAACTCCTTTCCTGAGGGATGCCAATCCAATGAGCAGCACTAATCGGAAGCGGTTGTTCAACCAGCGATAAGGCCACTAACTTCGTGATCATTCCTTTCACAATTTTCCACCTTGTCTACAAGGCTGTAATGAGAAAATTTGTCAAATGCCGTATTGAATTCCAAGCTGACTATGTCTATGGCATCTCCTTGATTTACCAGCCTAGTCAACCAAGTCAATTCAACCAAGGTTTACTAAGCTGTGGAAGGCACAAGGTGAGGATTGGGGGCAGTGTAGGGCTGGATTTGGAGTCAAAAGACTTGAGTTCAAATGCCATCTCTAAATCGGTGATCTTAGAAAGAGGTGGTACGACCCATTCCCCACCCTTCAAGACTTTATAATCTGACATCTTCTCCAGCCTGGTAGAAACTGGACATCTATAACATGAAGCATAGTTTTGGTAGCCTGAGTTAAGTGTACTTTCATTTCTTTTCCCATCATTTTATGACCACTTCAGGGTTTATTTTGGTCATAAGTTCATGGATCTGGACATTTAAACATTTATTTAAAATAACCAATTTAAAATTGGAACTAGGATGGTGTAGTGGGGACTTCTTGGAGTCAAGAATGCCTGAGTTCAAATCCTGACTTAGATGCTTGCTAGCTGTGTGACCCTGGCCAAATCACTTTACTCTCAGACTCACTCTCAGTTTCCTCATTCATAAGATGAGGCTAGTAATAGGACCTACATCCCAGATTGTTATTAGGATCAAATGAGATAATGCATGTGAAGAATTCTGTAAATTTAAAGTGTTATATAGGTGCTAGCTATCATTATTATTTTTATTATTACATAACAACAATAATATGATAATTGTTATATACAATAAAATATAATTGTTATATAATATTAATACTCTAATAACTGTTTTTATTTGACATGCATAATTAGTATTACATAACAATAATATGATAATTGTTATATACAACAAAATATAATTGTTATATAATAATATAATTGTTATATAATATTAATACTCTAATGACTGTTTTTATTTGACATGTATATTTATTATTACATAACAATAATAGGATAACAACTGTTACAGAACAATAATAATTGCTAATATTTATATAAGCCATTTGCAAAGCACTTTACAAATATCTCATTTGATCCTCACAGCAACTTGGGATACAGCTACTATTATCCCCATTTTACAAATGAGAAAACTGAGGCAAATGGCAGTTAAGTGACTCATCTAGGATTTCACAGCTATTAAGTGTCTGAGGCTGGATTTGAACTCAGGTCTCCCTGATACCAGGTCCAGTGATCTATCCACTTTGCCATCTTGCTGCCTCCTATGCTAGGCTAAAACCCTTGTTTTATGAATGAAGAAATTGAGGCCCAGAAGGGTTAGGTGACTTGTCTAATTTCACACAGGGAGTAGGTGGCCAAGCCAGGATTCAAATCCAGGCTTTTTTCTACCACACTCCCCAGAGTCCCTGACAGATGATGCTGTAAAACAAAGTAGGGCTTGGACCAGGGGCTTCAATCTTTGGATGGATCCATAATACCAAAGATGTAGGTACTGCTGCTCACAGCCCATCCATACGTTTTCATCCTGTGCTAATCCTGTCCACATTCTCCTATAAATCTGACACTGAGAGGCTACCTAATGTCCCAGGGACCTACCTTTAGGGCTCTTGATGTTGTGAGGATGCCAGGAGAGCCCATGGACTATCCAGTTGTTGTCCCTTCCTCCTGCTCCATGACCAGACCACTCTCTGTTCCATTCAGGCACTTCTCTGGTGACATCCTTTCCATTGTTTCTCCTGCATAATTCTTCATTGATTGTAGCTGCCATATGCCTCCTCTTTGTTCTCTGGGTGATTGGTCACTTTAACTCTCAAGAGACAGTAGCCCTCCATGTCTCACAGAGCATCTCTGGAAAAAGCTGTTATTAAGAAGACAGTCCTTCAATTTAGGGAGAGGTCTGGGGCTTATTAAAAGGACTCTACTTGGAGCAACACAATGACCAACCCCCATTCCGGACAACCAATGATGAGACATGCTAGCCATCTCCTGAAATTGGTGAGGCGCTCAAAATGCAGAATATGCATAAATGCGCAAATATAAGAATTGTTTTTTTCTCAACTCTGCATATTTGTTGCAAAGACTTTTTTCCTTCTCTTTTTTTGAATGGAGAAGGGAGTGAAAGGGAGAGAAAACAAATGATTGTTAATTGAAAAGCCAAACAAAAAAAAAATTAAAATGCCCTGCACAATTTCTCAAGGCAGTCATGCTTGTTCTCTTCCTCCCATTCAGTTCCAAGCTCTACGTTTTGTGATTCCGCGATATTTGGCCAAGATATAGGTACTGATGGACCACCATCCAAATGCATATCATATTCTGGACAATAGGCATTCTTCGTCCACTTATTTTTTCCCGTGTGGATGGCTAGGGCAAAGTCTTTTGATCAATTGTGGATCTTATTGAGGATACTCAGTAATGTTTGAGGCTTGGTGCAGTCAATTCAATATTGCCTATAAATAGCAAAATCTGGAGGATGTGATCATCTATAGAAAAGTCCCCTGCCCTTGATCTTCTTTAAGATGGTGGCAAATGTCTTGGATATGCACATGGTTCTATTTTGTGTCCTTGTTATTAGTCAGCAGAACACTGCTGAGAAAAGTTATTTCTGTTGTTACATCTTCAAGGAATCTCACATAATTTTGGTCTATGTATAAGAGAGTGATGCTGAAACAGAGGCTTTGAGGCAATATTTTGCTCTACCAAATCAGATGCTTTATTATCAGCAACAAACAATAAATGTAATGGAACCCTGTATTCGCTGCATCTTCCAGTAACTTGGCTGACTATAATGAAGTGGTCTGCTGATGAATTTCACTTGGAAATGCCTGCCTTTTACCTGTTCACATCTTCATCAAGCATGCTCTCAGTGCATGTATGGATTATTCTTGTAAACAGTTTTTAGAGATGAGAAAGTAGGCATGAGAGTCAGCAGTTATTGACATTTGGAGGAGGGTAATAATGAGGCCTGTGATTTATTCCAAGCATTTGTTGTCATTCCCTCTTTCAGACAACAATCCCCTGAAGCCTTCAAAATTGCTACACATTCTTATTTTTGTGATTTTGGTCTAATCCTGTTCGTCTCTTCAGTATTATGTCCTTTTCCTCATGAATGCCATAAGGTATTGTAATGTTAGAGTCCAAATTGGTCGTGATGGATTCAATTTTTCATCATCCTTATAGTTTCTTTCTTAAATGCCCAGAGAATGATTTTTTTTTTTTGATTGAGTGTGTTGGCAAAGCTTTGGTAAACTTGTCTCTCCCCCTCCCCAGTGCTTCTCACTGTTTTATGAGGTGATGCTATTCATAACCTACAATCACCCTCTGTTAGATTTTACAAATGAGTCTATAGTTTAATCTCAGGATGACCTTAGTTTTCACATTTCTCAATTGAAGATCACTAGTTTGTTGAAAAAGGTGGTTCCTAGGCTTCTTTAGTCTCCTTTTTGTGGCAATTGAGTTACATTAGTTAAATGTTCTTAGAAAATGGGATACTGTGTCTATATCTGTTCTTTTATCCATTTCTCATTTGGGGGAGTCAGCAACTTGTTTAAATAGGCTACTTTGGAATTACCTCAGTTATACACTCTATCTCCTTGTTTGTATTATTATAATTTAATATTGATTTACCACTAACAAATTAGCAGTCCAACTTTACGTAGTTGATTCAGAAATTATGTTTGCATCAATAATCTGTCATATGCTGTCTGGTAAAATGCAATCAATTTCATTTTCTGCACTGTTATTTGTTGTTCGCCATGTCTAGTGACTTTCTTAGCAGTGGCATAATATAATCTACAGCAGTCTACAAGTACTTAATTTATCTTGCTTCTCATTCTTGAACCATGTTTTCCAACACATTTCTCAGTATCCTGTCCTATGCCCACCATTGCCTTGATGTCACCAGCTACACGTTGATTTAATTTGGAGGGTCATATCAAGTTCTTAATACAGTTTCTCTACATCCTCATCCTCTGCACCATATATTGACATAGAAGCTACAATTATCTTCTTGCTGCTCTTCTCACAAATTCTTATCATGAGCACTTCAAGATGGTGCTGTGATATGGTGTTTCTTGGGCCTTGGGTCCTGCAAGAAAACCAACTCCTTTCTATGTCTCTTTAAGAAGAATCAATGAGCTGTCCTTCACTAAATTACAACTTCTTTTCATCTTCTAGCTTCTTTTACATTGAGAATGTCAAGATTGATAGGATTTATTTTCTCCAGGACTTTTTCTGCTTGTTGGTCATTGGTTCAAAGATCTCATCTTTAAAGCACCAAATAGCTAAGTTAATGTTCATAGGTCATCTAATTCTTGTGAGTCTTAGCACCTTCTGCCCCCCTTTTTGCTACTCTGTCACCAGAACTGCAGACTTGGAAGGGGGCAGCTCCAGAATGAGGATCATTTTATAGTTTTCTTTCTTTCATGGCCAAGGGATTCATCAATAAGTGGCCAGACAGTCGATGATGAACTTTTCTGTACTTACCTAGGCTGGTCCTTGGAAAGCAAAAGCAGACTGTGGCTGGGACAGTGCCTAGAGCTGTATCAACACAGCAGAACCTGCCACAGAGCTCTTGCCCCATTTTCAACAATCCAGGTCCCCTCCACACCACAAGGAAGCATCAGGGGACGGACCTACAGAAGTTCAAACATGTACTATTTTTTAAAACATAGATTTATGTTCCTGGTTACATTTTGCTTAGACCTATATTAAAATTAGTTTGCAGTCCCCAAAGCAGGCACCCACAGAAACACGCTGGGATGCAAAATTTCTGTGAACAATCCACAGAGGAGTGATTGGGAGTTGATGAAAACACAAGAATAGCTATTGTTCTAATTAGGAAGTTCTGAAATAATCCTTCCCCAGCATGGGACTTTCATCAGAATGAGTTTGTTAGCTCCTAAGTTGGCCTAGTATTCCTTATTGGAAGGGGACTGTTTGTTCCGCTTGGGGAATGGGGCCAGATTTGGTTTGTTCAGTGTCTTCTGCTCATTGGAGGTGAAGTGGGAGGGGATGGAGGGCGGAGAAGACCAACTTCAGTTTATTTCGCTGGAGTTATTAAATTAGAGCTGGGGCTCTTAGCTTTTATTGTGTCATCGACCCTTGGGCAATCTTCTCAGAATCCTGTATTAAAGTACATAAAAATCAAATACATAGGGTTACAATCGAACAGACGTATTGAAATGCAGTTCTCAAATAAAAAAACAAAAAACAAATGCAGTTCTCAAAATAAAAAACAAAAAATTAAAATCAAGTTCATGGAGCCTGGAACTCCTGATTCTAGTCCATTTCCCCCTTTTGACAGACGAGCTAAGGCCCAGAGAGAGGTTAAGTCACTTGTTCTATCTAGGTCACATAGCTAGTTAATGATAGAGTCAGAATTTGAACCCAGTGCTCCTGACTCCCAGCCCACTCTCTAACAATATGATTTTTTTTAAAGATGAGAAGATTATTCCGCTCCCCCTTATTTGTGAACAGATATCCAACCTGAAATAAATATTATGGCTGATTTTTTTCTCCTTCTTTGTTATTGGTTTCCACCCAGGAGAGGGAAAGTGGTTAAAGTTAAACTTATTATTCATTGATAAATTGTCAGATGTTTTAAAAAAAGGGATATTGGGAGAAGACTAAATTTTTGAGAAATAGTGGCATATTTTGGGGAACAGTAGCTGGTACAGGAGATAGAATATGGGACCTGGATTCAGGATGATCCAAGTTCAAAGCTGCCTCAGATACTGCCTACCTGTGGCAGTCACCAGACAACTCATTTTACTTCTGTCTACCTCAGTTTCTTCAGTTGCAAAATGGGAATAATATAACAATAATTGCACCTACTTCCCATGATTGTGAGGGTTAAATGAGTTAATATCTGTAAAGGGCTTGGCAAACTTTAAATCTCTATATGCTGTTGTGATTATGATTTCTGCTTTCTCATCTCTTACTTCTCAGGTGGGCTCCTCTGCATTGCTGCATTTTTTCATCTCCTTGTAGCTCTTCAAAAAAGCTGGTGATCTTTGAAGGTGCCTTAGAATCATAGGGCTCTACATGAGATTGTGTGCCATCTTGGGGAGGGTGGTGGGGAGGAAAGGGGAGAAAAATTTTAAACTCAAAAGCATATGGAAGTGATTGTTGATAAATCAAAATAAATTAATAAAATTTAAAAAAGAATTATAGGGCTCAAGATAAGGATTGCCCTTATGAACAGTATATTACAAATATAATTGGGGTTCTAGCTCAGCAAAGCTTTCTGTTTTGGGAAAATAGCAATAAGAGGCAGATTTAAAAATCCTTGTACTCGCTTGTGTCTTTCAATGAGTGGACCTGACCCTTATTCAGAAGAAACGCCTCCTGACTTCCAATTGATTCTGCTGATTTGACTGAGGAAGGGTCAGCTGAAAACGGACCTTTTTCTACTCGACATTCTGATCGTGGGATGTCATGTGTCATAATGTGAGCATGAAGCTTATTGGCAATCCTAGGCTGGTGATTAATTGCTACGAAAGTAATTTCCTCCTAATGACTCGGAGTCTAGAGAAGTTGGCAATTTTCTCTGAACCTTGGTTTTCCCATTTTGAGAAAAAGGGGAACAAACGTGTTCCCCCAGTAGAATGAAGGTTCGTTGAGGGCGGGAGCTGTTTGTTTTCCTATTTGTATTCTCAGGGACTAGCACCGAGACTTGCATATATCAACCGATTAACGAGCACTTCGTAAGCACCTGATTTACGGGCCAGGCACCGTGCTAGGCACTAAGGCCACAAAGACAAAGTGAAATCTGGTCTCAAAGAGCTCACGTTCTATCAAGGCAGACAACGTGGAGTACGTATGGAAATAGATGCAAAATAATCACAGGCTAACTTGGGGGAGAAAGCACAAGCATCTGGGCGGCTCGGGAGGGGTACTCGGGCGAGACAGGGTTAGACTCGAGCTTTGGGTGAGAGTAGGGATTCTAGTTAGAGGTGGGGAGGACGAGCGAATATTGCGAGAACGTGGGGCAGCCGTACGAGAAAGGGAAGAGAATGTCGTGGGCTAGGAGCAGCTAGGGGTGAAGTAGATGGAGTGCTAGACGTGAATTCAAATTCTATCTC